AGTGATTGGTGGAACTATTGAAGTTGAAATCCCACATGAAGTCTTCAATCATGACAGAGGTTATCACCTTAAGAGTAGAATGAAGTTCACTTATCTAAACTTATTAGAGAACATGAAAAATTATTCTTTTTTGAGGAAAATGCATCATTGGCACCCATGCTCGAGGTTGTTGAATGGTAAATGAATTTGTCTTATCCTTTATTCTCAGAAGTTAAAAGGAGTACTTAAGTTTTAATTATTCATTTGAGTTTTTTTAATTAAATCAAATGTTCGGGAATCCCAAATCACAAAATAGTTTTCTTAAAGGGGTACCAATTATGTCATTTAAGAACATTGACCATTATTTAAATTATAGGTACAAGATTAATCATTTAAGAGCTGGGAAAGAATGTTATCGGTGCAATTTTGGTTTCAGGAAATTTAAGTCGGGGAAAATGTTCACATGTCCCGAATGAATTTAGTACTATTTGATCTAAGACTACTCTTGAATTTAAAGATATGATAATCCTCAATAGTCTTATATTTTGCTATAACTATTAACAAAGTAAAGGTCAAATATTATCTTTTGGTGTATTATTTTTAACCAATTTCGAATTTACTCATGGTCAGCATTAGGTTAGTAGTGTTTCACAAATGAATACAAAGACATGATTAAAAATACTTGCTCTAGATGACAATTGAAACCCTTGCAACCATACAAAAAATGTTGTATATCTTGAAATCTTTCAAAAAATTTGTAATTAAAAAAGACTTTTGCGAGTACATTTTCAATTTCTCAAGTATTATTTATTGTACATTAGCGTTGTTGTCCATTGTTTTAAAAATTGTGTGAGAAATATATTAGCTTGATTCTAGAAAAAATATTGCATTGAAAAAAATTAGTATCGACAAAATCCTTTGAAAATGCACCAAAATGGTTTGAAAATACATCATGTCGAAATGCACCAAAATCCTTTGAAAATGTGCTATCTCAAAATCTGAGCGCAGGATGCAATTTGAGCCACACGATGCATTAGATCCAACGGTTAAATTTTATTCTCATTTCTCTCCACAAGGTGTATTCACACGGGAACCGACAAACATTTGGGTCTCTTAAGTTGATGGGTCAGCCCCGGGCCTAACCTTCCTATCGAGAGGGGAGTACAATATAGATTTGTAACTAGATATTACTATTTCCATTTAATTTTTTTCTCATTTATTATTTAAAGGAATAAATTTTATTCATTTTATTTGTCTATTTTCGTTGTCCATTTAGATGTAGTTTTTAAATAATATAGTGTTTATTTTAAAATAAAACAGTATTCATTCTTTAATAATTGGGAGAAAGACCAAAGTAGAACTAAAACATTGAAAATATACCATAATAGGACTTCCATATTTTTATTCCCGAAATAGGACTTACATTACCATACATGGTCATATACATTACCAGAAAAGTATGGTAACTTGCACATGTACACTATCACATTACAACAAGACAAAGTCACATTACCACAGTGCAAAGTTCTATTTCGGGAAAAAAACATGAAAGTCCTATTTTGGTACTTTTCTATATGTTATAGTCATATTTAGGATGATTTCTATTAATAATTTAGTGTTCATTCTCGTATAAAATAAAATACATACCATAAATAACTTATTGATTGTACTCAAAATCCATACTTTATTTAAAAAGCCATGGATTCTCAATTTGGTTTTCCCGCCCATTTGGTGTTCCAATAAAAATGGTAATTCTTCACTTCATATGGTAATGACTCAATTTAAATGGTAAGTAATTTAAAGTAATAATAATTCTTTTGCACAGGTCATTAATATTACACGGTATTGACTTTTTCCCATTTATGGAAAACTTTCCACACGTGATTAATTTAAATTAGAAATGATTAAAAAGGTGAGTAATTTAAATAATTAAATTAAATAATAACGTGCCGTAAAAAAATAACGTTAAAATGGCCAACCTAATTATGGGAAATAATTAAAATAGTAAGTAATTTAAAGTAATAATAATTCTTTTGCATGAGTCACTAATGTTACACGGTTTTGACTCATTCCCTTTTATGGAAAACTTTCCAAACGTGATTAATTTAAATTGGAAATGATTAAAAAAGTGAGTAATTTAAATTGGTAATTAATTATTAACCTACTTACCTTCATTATAAACTTACTTTTATTAATCTCTCCCATTTGGTATTGCAAAAAATGGCAATTGTTCACTTAAAATGGTAATGAGTCAATTACAATAAATAATTAAATTAAATAATAACATGGCGTCAAAAAAAAGAGTAATGTTAAAATGGCCAACCTAATTATTGTAAACAATTAAAATGGTAAGTAAATTGAAGTAATAATAATTCTTTTGCACGGGTCATTAATATTACACGGTTTTGACTCATTCCCATTTATGGAAAATTTTCCAAACGTGATTAATATATTTAAATTGGAAATGATTAAAAAGGTGAGTAATTTAAATTGGTAATTAATTATTAACCTACTTACCTTTATTGTAAAGTTACTTTTATTAATCCCGCCCATTTGGTATTGCAAAAAAATGGTAATTATTCACTTAAAATGGTAATGAGTCAATTACAATAAATAATTAAATTAAATAATAACGTGCCGTAAAAAAACGTTAAAATGGCCAACTTAATTATGGGAAACAATTACAATGGTAAGTAATTTAAAGTAATAATAATTCTTTTGCACGGGTCATTAATGTTACACGGTTTTGACTCATTCCAATTTATGAAAACCTTACCAAACGTGAATATAAAGATATAATAATAATAATAACGTGATTATTTATATTGGAAATTATTAAAAAGGTAAATAATTTAAATTGGTAATTAATTATTACCAATCCATACTTTATTTAAAAAGAAATGAAGTCAATATTACGTTTTCCTGCCCAAAGAGTATGCCCATTGCATATAGCAATTGTGAAGTTAAAATGGTAAGTGTCCAAAATTATAGTAATATAAAATGGTAATTGTGAAGTTAATATATTTATTTTTTAATAATAATTAACTATCATTTTTAAAGTGTCCAAAATTATACTAGCAAGAAAGGTAAGTTATAGAATTGGAAAGCGCAAGTTTTTATTAAAATTAGAATTTTACGTGTGATTTTAAATGTTAATTACCGTGTCAAATTCATTATAGTAATATGTGTGATTACCGTTTCAAATTAATTATAATAATTAAATATTAATTACCGATTCAAATTAATTATAGTAATTTTTTAATGGCTATATTTTAATTATAGTGGCTATATTTTATAATGTCTATATTTTATTATATTTTAATTATAGTAATTTTAATCAAAAGGTAATAATTAATCAAGGTATTAATTATATAACCGTGTGACTACATAATTGTATGCTCTGTATTAATTACCGTGTCATTTTAATTATAGTAATTTTAAATATAATAATTCAAATAATTTAAATATAGTAATAGTAATTGTTAAGTATTTAAAGATGGTAAGAAATTAAAGTGCCCGAAATTATAGTAATATAAAATGGACTATAACTACTGTAAGAATTAAATATCCTTTATATATATATATATATATATACGTTTAATAGCGAGAAAGGTAATAACCAAGAAAGGTAATAATTAACTGTCATTTTTAAAGTTTCTGAAATTATACTAGCAAAAAAGGTAATAATAAAAAAAGGTAATAATTGACCACAATTTTAATTATATAACCGTGTGACTACGTAATTGTATATTAATTACCGTGTCAAATTAATTATAGTAATTTTAATTATAATAATTTTATAATAGTAATTTTATAATGGCTATATTTTACTATATTTTCATTATAGTAATTTTAATCAAAAAAGTAATAATTAACCAAGGTATTAATTATATAAATGTGTGACTAAATAATTGTATCATTCGTATTAATTACCGGGTCATTTTAATTATAGTAATTTTAAATATAATAAATTAAATAATTTAAATATAGTAATAGTAATTTAAATTCGGTATAGCACTTTGAAAAATGAATAATTTTTTTAACCACGTATACAAAAATCATATTATAAATACATCTATTTACGAATCTTTCGTAGCCACTACATTCATCGTTAATTTTTTTCCCAACGTTTCAAAATTGTCATTCCTATGAAAATGGGGATCTTAACTATTTTTCAAAGCAGTACTGCTTTGAAAAAGCGAGAAAGACCAAAATAGGACTAAAACATTGAAAATATACCAAAATAGGACTTCCATGTTTTTATTTCCGAAATAGGACTTACATTACCAAACATGGTCATATACATTACCAAAAAAGTATAGTAATTTACACATGTACACTGCCACATTACCACAATGCAAAGTCACATTACCACAATGCAAAGTCCTATTCCGGGGAAAAAATATGAAAATCCTATTTTGGTACTTTTCTTTATGTTTTAGTCCTATTTAGAATGATTTCTATTTGAAAAATGTTGATGAGAGGTCATCAATGTTAATGATGAAGCTACGAGTAGTTAGGGTTTATCACATGTTTCTGTAACAATAATCCAACACGTTTTATTCATGAACAACTCTATGTTGCAGTTTTTAGAGTAACTAATCATAGTGGGTTGAAGATTCTGATACGCAATGAAGACAATATTCCTACAAATTGTACAAATAATGTAGTTTATAAAGAAGTCTTTCAAAATGTGTAAAACAGTGATATTTTGTAAGTTAAAATATTGGGAGAAAAATCAAAGTAGGACTAAAACATTGAAAATATACCAAAATAGGACTTCCATGTTTTTATTCCCGAAATAGAACTTACATTACCATACATGGTCATATACATTACCAAAAAAAGTATAGTAATTTGCACATGTACACTGCCACATTACAACAGGACAAAGTCACATTACCACAGTGCAAAGTCCTATTTCGGGGAAAAAACATGAAAGTCCTATTTTGATACTTTTCTCTATGTTTTAGTCTCATTTAGGATGATTTCTATAAAATACTATAATCTCTATATTGTATTGCATCTCATTTTTTATCATTAATTTGAATTTAATAACATAAAATGACCCTTGTAACGACTGGTGTCATGCTAGTATCGGCTAAAACCCCATGTATAATATAATTTGCAGGTGCCAGCCAACGCCCTCCTCCCACAGTGTACGCAACGCCGGTACGGGATCAGGACGCACGGACACAGTCGGCAGGTGGAGCAGTCTGCCGCCAGTCCGCCATCGGCCAACGCGGTCGCCGCCGCCGTTGAACGCCGTTGCTCCAGTTCCTCCGCCTGTTCGCCGGAAGGTAATCCTCCGTCGCTCCATTCCTCCATCTCAATGTATACTTGGTATTTCTTTTACTATTTTAGACCATTATCAAATGTGATTTGAGATTTGTAGGTTTGTCTACTGTGAATTTGTGATTATTTTAATTTCCATACGAAGTTTGAGTTAATCTTTATTAATTTAATTAGGAAAGTGTTAATTACTACTCTGTATACTATTGGCCAATGAGTACATAATTTGGGTTATTGTTTGATTGATACAACTAGCTGAAATGGAAGATCCTTAGAGTGGTTAGGTATTGGATAAGTTAGTTAGCTGATGCAAGCAAGTTAATTGGTTGTTAGATGATGGACTAGAGTAAAATCTGCTATATAAATGATTGGATGCTATGTACCAGAGAGGGATTTACGAAAATTCCACCAAATTCTTCTTCTATCTTTCTCTCTCTTTCTTTCCCTTTCTTCTCGTTTCTGTTGTCGGGTTTGTCACCTTCCTCATTGACGAAACTAGCTTCCTCCATTGATTTAATCAGCAAGGTTCTCTTGTTCGTCCATGTTTAAGGGTAGTTTTGTTGCTAATGCTTCTGCTACATTCAAGTTCTGTTTTTAGGTTTTTTAAAAACATTTTTCATATTATCAAATTTGGCCATCCATTTTTTTTAAAATTCAAATAACTCTTTTAACAATAATGTTTAAATTTAATTACTCCGTAATATATTCTTGTTTTATTCCACAGAGCAATGAGATACATGCTGATAGCATATCAGTAAAGGAATCCACCCGAGTAATTGACAGCTCACCAAGTCAAGAGCATTGAGAAGGTAAATTATATATATACTGAAAATTGTGCAAAAAGCAATTGTAACTTGTAATTTTTAATTTTCGCGTTATATCATTTATATCTAAGCTTTAATTTTATATATCACTTATTTACTTCTAGCTTGACACATATACTCTTGACATACCGTTTTGCTGATCTTTTATTAAAAGATAGCTTCGATAAGGTAAAATCCTTCATGAGATGCAATAATCCTAGATCAAAACTGCAAAATAAAAGTATCTTTCGCACATGTCATTCCAACATATTTTCTAATCAAGATTTCCGTTTCAATGACAACCTTCTCCATACATGAGAATATCTTTAGTCAGTTCAAAACCTCATGTACATCCATTACCTAGTAGGCCATAGAAGCAGTACTAATACGCCCTAGTGCCTGGGCCTCGCCTTGGAGAAAATCACCACCACTCATATGCAGAACCATACCCACATCTTTTTGCAGTTTGAGGGATCATATATTTGTCTATTTTAGATTATGTGATTATTTAAGTCTATTTATCTATCTTGGATTACTTTCTCTATTCTCTTTTAGTATGTCTTCTTGAAGGTAGACATGTTTTAAGGTAGACATACTCTAAGGAGTATTTGTTTAAGGCACTTGATGCGACAAATTTCTTAATTGCTTCACAAAAGAAAACTTTAGCATAGGGTTTCTAAATACTTTAGTTAGTTGTATAAGCATTGCTGCCATTGCAGAAGAAAGTGTCAAGGGTTGGGAAAAGTTGATGGGATGAATTCGAACAATTAACAATGAAGAAATTCTCAACGAAATGATTTCATAGGGTAGGAGTGTTGGCAATGGAAGAACCAGAAAAAGTTCAGGTGATGACAAATCTTTCTAAAAATGTCTCTCCTAGGATTCAAATTTACATCCTTTGCAAATAAATACCGAGTAGCATTTTAAAAGTGTCATTAAGTCAAATAATCAAAACTCTCATGTTATTTGCAAAAAAAAAGTTTCCAACATGTTGAAGGTGGAAATTTTAGTCAAACCAAATTGTAATTTTACATATTACAAGTTTTAAAGTATACTTTATTCAAACTAATTTTGTTTAGAAAAAATACTCCCTCGAAATCAACTACGCCTTTCTTTTTTGGGTCACTCCCAAATAAACTTCACATTCCTTTTAAGGAAAGCGTTCAATGGTTCCCATAATTTCTCTCCCTTGTATAAATTTCAATCACACAATTTCATCTTTTCTCAAACTTTGTGAAAAGAGCACATAAAGTCTAATCTAGGATGGATGGAGTAAAAAACACAAATACACAATCAGGGTATAAGAACTCCAAACCATTAAGCTAAACACCTAATATGGAGTAACATTTATAATTTTCAAAAAACGTGCAAACAGAAAAAGTCTAAATCCAGAGTTTTAATTGTCAATCATACATGTTCTTAACGCAAAACCATGAACATAAACATCTTTCCCTAATAATATAAGGCCAAATAGCATTAAAAGTAACGATTTTGGTCCTTTTTCCGTCATGCACCGTTTACGGTGTAATGCTCTTGTCTCTGTGCCTTGAGAATAATCACATCCACAAGCATAAAATCTTTAGTTGATGTAATCATTGCCTTTCACTCAGGAGATTACTCTTTCACACTTTTCTTCAGAATTACTTCATCAGAGCTTCATGTGTTCTAGGTGATTTTCTTCCGGATTTGCTTCATCTGGGTAGTTTTTCGATTTCTCTACTTCATTTCTTTGTTTATACTCCATATTATTTTTGTTCTTGATTCATAATAACACATACGGTCCAATTTAGATTTTGATTAAGTTATTGCTTTGTTTTGATTTCTTTTAATTCAATAAGTAAATTGATATGAAGCTTAAATTTCAGCTTCCAGTTTTTTCTTTATGGGAACACAACTTTTACTTTCAGTTTTTAAAGCCTCAATTCTTCTTTGTTTTCTTTTAATTTATATTTTAGTTCCCCTTATTTAATTTAGATTTTGAAATTTCTAAAATTTAGGTTTACATCTGATTGATAATGCTAAATTGAAGTTGAATTCAGCAAGTTTTAAGAATTAAGGGTTTACCTATGCCTGAATATTTATTTACTTCTGTTTTATTTGTGATTAATTGAGCAGAGTTTCTGGCTTGTTTTAACTGATTAAGCAGAATTGATGTTGAATTTTGTGGTTTGCTTCTGCTTGATAACCAGAAAATTTAAAAAACTTAGGGTCTTTAAATTTCTATAGCTTTACTGCTTTGAAAAATTTATAATTGAGGCCACTACACTGTTTTTAAATCCCAACCAAAACATATTGACATTGTTTTTTATCTCTTGTTCTTTGCTCTGTTTTTTGGAATAATGAGTTTAATCGTAGAAGAAATAGAGGGAGTTGTTTGCTCTTTTCTAAGTTATTTGATTTGAATCCAAAATATTGTCAAACCAATTTCCGAAAGAAGGTTATGTGAACAAAAATTTATTCAGATGGTCCATTTTCAAAGTAACTCCAATGGACATGCTTTCATTGACAATAAAATAAAAACTTTATTGCATTAAAACATAAATGATTTCAATAGATTTATCTTTTGAAAATTTTTAAATATTATTTTTTGAAAATTTGTAGAATGATTATTTAATTACTTTCAACATTGTATTAAATGAATTTCAATTACTGATTTTCAATTACTTTTAGGTAGTGTTTGGATATGGCCTATAGAAATTCATTTCAATTTTTGAATTTCAATTCTATAATTTCTAATCCCCATAATTCAAATTCCATTCCGATGTTTGGCAAACACAAGAAATTCAAAATTCATAATTTCAAATCCAAATGCTGTTTGGGAAACTCATAATTTCAATTCTAGAATTCAAATTCTGATGTTGTTTGGCAAGTACTAGAATTTCATTTCAAATAATTAATGGATAAAATATTGTTAAAATAATCTCAAATAACATAATAACCAAATATTTCATAAACAAAATACATATTAATGTATGACAATTAGAAAAATTATTAATTTGAAGCCAATATTTAATATTCCGTAGTTCATAACACGATCACTCTTCCAAGCACAACAAAATCCAATCCAACTTCTCGTCTTCACGCAAATCCTTGAGCATTTGAAACTCATCTGACATATTCATAAACTTCTTAACTGCCATCAACACTTGATGAAGAAATATGCCATCTACATTTGAAACAATGTCATGGATTTCTTTCCCGCTCGCCTTTGAAGTCATATTGATCTTGCTTTGAACATATCCGTTGAATGAGTTCGCGAAACTTGTAACTGTCTCCGCCAAACGATTTTTCTTCACCTTCTTAAACACAGAATCTGTTGACGTGCTCATTCCTTCACCCATCATTTCCTCATCCATAGCCATTAATTCTTCATCATTTGCTCCGCACCATCCCCTAATGCTCTATCCGATCCAAACTAAACACAAAAATCATCCCAATTATCTATAGTTTTATTTTATAAGAACTTGTTGGTGGATGACCCTGCATGCAAAAAAGAGTGTTAGGCAACCCTCTTGTGAGCTACATATACAAGGGATTGTGATCTTATATATGAATTAATACAAAAAAGATAATGACTGATATAAAACTAATTGATGAGACGATACACGTACCGGCTGCATCATTGACAACCTTCACAAGAAAATTGCAATTTGAGCCATTCTTTCAAACTGCAATTCGTTATTTTTTTATGCACAAATCTCCTAGACTCATCTACATCTAAAACCCCTCAATAAAATAAACTAAAAACCAAATCCACTTCTAGAGAATTCTTTGATTAAGTCCAAATACCCTAGTTGGAAATAATACCACACATAGTTATCAAGGCGTCGCCTAGGCGACGCTTAGGCGTCTGGGCGAGGTTTTGTGGAAGCCAAATTTGTCGCCTAGATTTTTTTTACCTCGGCGACTGTGTTGAATGGAAACGTCTGTCCTCCCCCTCTCGGAGACGCGTCTACATTTTAGAAGCGCAAGGGAATGCACAAGATAGGAAGAAGACGAAGGAGGTGGAGAAGATAGGAAGAAGACGTATCTTTCTCACCTATTATTTGTCTCCAGCTGCAATGGCTTCCAATGCTGCAACAAGTCTCTTTCTATCCCTCTATCATTTAGACTAGCGGACTAGGTCCAATAATTGGGCTTAGATTCGTTAAAAGACTATTGGACCTTTTAACAAGAGTATAAGGCCCAAGATTTAATAGGCCTTTTGAAAGCTCACTTTATTGGAGTAGGCTTATATATATGTGTGTGTGTGTGTGTGTATGTGTGTGTGTGCATGCATGCATGTATGTATGATTCTCGGTTTCATTATGTCGGTAAATGTACTTTCTAATTAATTATTTAATACCTATAAAATTTTTAAGGTCGCCATAGCCCACTCACCCAGGGGACGCCTAGGCAACCTTCCAATCGCCTAGGCGATTGGAAGGTGCTCTAGCGCCCAGCCTCGCCTAGCTTCCGTAACAACTATGCTACTACAGAACCCCAGAGGAAAACCTGCACATACCTCCAGCTCTTTCGAGTGCAGATGAACACCAGACCAATCCCATATGGCCAAAGCTACCAAAATATTGTTTACTACAGAAACAATAACACAAAGGGTAAATGGATAAATCTTTGGAAAAAATAAAGAAGCAAGGATAAATACAAAGAAAAAACTGTTCTTATGAAGTGCAGTTTGCTGGGGAAAGAATACCAAACTCATTCTCTTAGACTATTTATCACACACATATGCTAATAATAACACAATTAGCAGGAGCTTACTATATCTTTAAATCTTAACATTTTACTTTGGTGAATATTTCTCAATGATTTGCAGGTTTCTAAAAGAAATAAAAAATAAGACATTCCATAATTCCAAAACCATAGACCTTCAACAGGAATGCAGCACTGTCCCTACAGAAAAAAGAATACTCCATAGAAGCCATTCAGCCCTTTTTACTTTTCCACCCAAAAACCCCTGCACCTAATTTGAATTATTCTACTCCATAATAAGTCCATAGTTAAGCTAGTTTTGTCCCGGTCTCTGACATTTTCTGATGAACTACTCCCAAATTTACTAAACAATTCATTTCACAATGCATGGGAAGGAATCTCCTGCTTAACAAACTGTGGCATTAAATGAGATGGGTGCTCACTACTTGGTGGCTTCAGTATATCTTGTCTATGAACTTTCCTCTTTGCAAAATATGACTACCCTCATAACATGGTTGCCTAAGTATTGCATGATTGAGCTATAAAGATAGACAATATCGGAAAAAATGCTCAGTTTAGCTACAGATACAAACATGTACCCACTAGTACAATAGGTTCATCCATTTACAAATAAAAGCTTACAATAATGCGTCCTTCAATCCTCAGATCCTTCTGCTCAAAAAGCCAAATCTGAATGTGTTTGGTATTCCAAACAAAGACACAAACACACACACACTGCTTGGTCACAACAAAAATCATAACTCATCATAATATCCCCATTGGGATAATAAATCAGAGCCAATAATGAATAAGCCTCCATAGCAAGCTTCCAAAAAAACAATAAATTCGGATTGTTTTTTCTTTTTTAATAAACAAACGCAAATAAATTAAATTAAATCTTCTACCATGATCCATTCTCTTTTTATAAATAAACCTATATATAGATGGAATTGAATAATATAACAGATCGGCCAAGAAATTAAAATAAACATGGGAATCGGATTATATATTATTCCGGTACGGTTTATACCCTGAAGGGAAGATGGAGGCCGAGGAAAAGCCGATAGAACTCAGAAGATGTGGGAGTGTCGGATTGGAAACTCTGGCGGTGAGAGCTGGGATACTGTGAGGGAGGAGATTGTGAGTTGGCGCAGGAAGAGAGATGGAGGAGAGATTGGGACCTTGGCCGCGATCGATGATGTGGGAGTGTGGGATCGGAAGAGATCTGCATGAAGTGGGAGTGAAAGACGAGAGATGGGTAGCTAATTTTATAATTGGGTTGGTTGATAATTAAAAGAATTTGAATCAAATTCAAATTCTTTAGATTGCCAAACAAGATATTTGGACCATATCTGGATTTCAAATCCAAATCCATGTTCCCAAACAGGCCATTGAAAAGCTTTCTTGTATGTAAAGTCAAACTCTCTGAATTAAATTGACACGGAATTTTTACTATTTTTTTACGATGTTTGTGTGGTTTAGGCTAGTAGACTTCATATTGAAGTAAACCTACAAGCCTAAACAGACAGGGTTGGTCTATAAGGCTTCCATTTTTCTTTGATTTTTTGTCATGTTTACTTGGAATAGTTGCAATTTTTGTTTGTGTGGAGTGATTAACTCATTATTGTAGACAAAGCATTTATTTTCTTTCTATGTATGCACAATTTCCATCCTCTATGCTTATATGCTGCTATTTTTGGACCAGATATATCCATATGTTGTTTACCCTGAATTCCAGCGAGCATACCAATACATATACTATCACTCATTAGCAAAAAAACTGGTTTTCAGTTTCTTCTCTCAGTGGTAGCCTTGTAGGAGTTTCTTGAGTGGGTTGTTGTTGGTGTATGGGTCAGTGTATGGGTCTTTGGGTGAAAATGATTTTGTTTGAGAAAACTTCTGATTTTTATTTCTTACATGCCTGCTGCCAAACTAATTTTAATTAAACTTTTCATTTTTACAGAGATGTTGAAGGTTCAGAGTTTTTTCTCACATCTTCCCGACAGTTTTTATCTTAGAGCCCCTTCTGTGATTTCGTTAATAGAAACAAAACATACTTTACACCTTGTATCTACAATCAGAAATCGGCTTCGAGCTCAAGCTTTCTCAACAATTTCAAGTCATGATCTTTATCTATTTAACTCCAAAAATGGTGAAAAAGAGAAGTTTACTCCTACCATGCCTGGTAACGTATCAATTTACCTATGTGGTGTGACTCCATATGACTATAGTCACGTTGGCCATGCTCGTACCTGTGTTGCTATGGATGTCCTCTTTAGGTACTAATTCCTACTTTGCATGTTATTTCTTTTATTTATCTTACAAATTTGGTTTCCTCATTTTTCTGTGATAGAAACTAAAGATGGACATTATATATGAATTAGGCTAAATGAACAACCATTTTGGCCTGCACATTAGTTTCTATCATTGTGTTGTAAAACTTTGTCTTGCTATGCTGCTATGATCCGAAATAGGTTTTCAAAGAAGAGTTTCTTATTATATTGAGTACACAAGTAGAACAGTAAAAGAGAAGAGCTAGAATATAGATGGAGTTCCAAACATCTGGCCGCACCAAACCCACACTTTATATAGAAATGAACTATTTTTCCTTATACATTGGCTCTTAATGAAGTTTTTATGCACTTGAACTTTTTCGGTATAATGCATTGATTTGTATGTAGATTAGTGGAATACATCAAGCACTTACATGATTGGTCTATATGTGTGAAGTTACATGTTAGACTCTCACTATATGCCATTATTTTATTTATTCCGTTCGCAAATAAATTTAACTCAAGCTTGAAATTATTAGATACTTGAAACACAAGAACTATGAAGTCAACTATGTAAGGAATTTTACCGACATCGATGACAAGGTAAGATAATTGTCATTTTGAAGTCTTTGATGATATGCTTTACAAAATCTATTTGTTGACATTAAATTGTAGGTTTCAGTAACTTGTTAAGAAATCCTTTTTCTTTTAATTTTACATAACAATTTAACTTCTTCTTTGGTAGATTATTTGTAGAGCAAACCTATTGGGTGAAGACCCATTAGCTTTAAGTAAGAGGTTTAGTGAAGAGTTTCTTCATGACATGTCTGAGCTTCAATGTCTCCTTCCTACTTACCAACCCCGAGTGTCTGATCACATCAATCAAGTTATAAGTTTAATACTTCAGGTGTTTCTCTTTCTTTCTTTACCCTGTAATCTATATGGTGAGACCGATTTCACACCCTGAATGACTAAATCCAAGTTTTCTAAATCCACCCTCTAAATAAAATCTACTCCCTCCGCCCCCATAGATCTTCTCATTACGCGTTATGTGGCTTAACACACTTTATTTTCAATTCAATTTATTTGATTGTAGGTGTTAAATTTAAAAATAAAGCTTGTTGGAGTAGTAAAAAACTACATGAAAATTTCTACAAAACAAGAGATGACAAGTGAGTTAAGTTTTACCCTGAGAAGATCTACAAGGGGCAGAGGGAGTATCAAATTGATATGCATAAAAGTGGACTTAGCATATTTTCATGAGAGTGGATTTCACCATTTAGAGTGGATTTAGTCTCACCCTAGTATATGTATGTTTCAAGTTACAATTATTTGGTTTTCATGGCAGATTCTAAGGAATGGTTGTGCTTATGTAGTTGAAGGAAATGTGTATTATTCAATAGACAAATTCCCAAACTACGGTCACTTAACAGGAATGAAGTCAGAAGAAAATATATCTGGTATACGAGTTGAACTTGATAAAAGAAAGCAAAATCCAAAGGATTTTGTTCTGTGGAAGGTAAAATTTTATGTTTACATGTTTGTTGGGATAAATATTTATATTTTTACCTAGAAAGGAAATATTATATATTGCAGGCTGCAAAGGTCGGTGAACCAAGTTGGGATAGTCCATGGGGTGCAGGAAGACCTGGATGGCACATAGAGTGCAGTGCACTAAGCTCTCATTACCTTTCTTTTTCATTTGATATCCATGCAGGGGGAATGGATTTGATGGTCCCACATCATGAGAATGAGATTGCCCAGAATTGGGCTGCTTGCTCTGAGAGTAATATAAGCTACTGGATGCATATTGGTACCGTCACTAAGAACAATCGTAAGATGTCAAAGTCAGATGGAAAATTTATCACCATTCGTGATGTGGGTTGTCTTTGACATGTTTTGTTTCTTCGAATTAAAAATTTGTTGTACATCTTGCATGTATTCAACTGTTTTATTGAATTTCCGTAGGTCACTAAAAATTACCATCCCTTGGCACTTAGACATTTTTTCTTGCGAACACATTACCGATCAACGGTTGATTATTCATCTTCACAAGTTGACACTTCATCCGAGGCTGTTTTCTACATTTATCAGGTATAAAGAGTATTGTATGATCTGTTTTGTATTAATTTTATCAATTTTTTCTCCTTAATGTTTTTAGATTGCATTAAGCATTAAAACTTGAATTGGTGTAGCCATGTAGGTCAAATGTGTGTAATTTGATTACTCGTTGCTTGATCATACGTTTTACATTTCTGCTGACTTATCTGTTACGTTGCTTATGATACTGAAATACACTTCAATGACAGATTATTCATGCTATAGAGAAGAGGTAAAAATATGTTTTAGTCCTAACAAGAAACAGAATCAACATAGAAGGAAATGACCAAATCAGTACAATGAGAAGCCCAAGCCTTGAGCATTTGGTAGCTCACCACCCTAATCAGTAACAGAACTCTGCTTACCTTTCTTTTCCTTCTCATTTTATCTATTGAACCCCTAATAGCCTCCCTCATGCAACAATCTTGCTAACTCGGCAATTTTGTTGTGTTGATCGGCTTTAAGCCTTTAACAACTATGATCACATTCTCATTTCCTCTATTCCCTGAAGTGCCCTTATACTTCTTTTCTACAATTTTATCCCACCCTTAGGGAATGTATCTCTTATAGATACATAGCTCATTAGGAAATAGGCTCTCTACCTTTTAGGTAGGGGTAAAGTCTGTGTACACTCACTCTCACACTCACTTATGGGATTTTACCGGGTCTTTGTTGTTGTATACTCCCCTTGTAAAACTTTTTTTCATTTTGTTGAAGAATTGTTGTAAATATGAGCATTCAAAATGTGCATTTAAACGTTTTTATAAGTGGCCGAATCAATGTTTTTGCCCATTGTGTTCTTGTTAACTCCAATATGAATTTGACTCTTCACCCTTGGGAATATACCTCCAAAACAATTTCTACCTGCAATAAACTACATAATGGGATGTATTTTAGACATTTTAGGTGGAAGTAAACTGTAAAAGTATTTTATGGGGTACGCAAAAAATTAGGGCGGAAGTGTTTTTAAGAACGGAGGGATCATTTATTTGGCGAGAAACATGAGTTCTTTTTTGAAATTAAGTTGTGAAAATAGAGGATATGAAATTGATTACTTCGAGAGGTATCATTGTATTTGGGAATTTTTATCTCATTGGGAAAAGGAGTTGGTAGATTTCAAAAAACTATCCCAAACAAAGAGGGGATGATTAGCTCTCTAAACCCTTTACTTTCTAACTCGCAAACAAAGCTTAAATGACTGCTAGAATTTTGTATTTAGTTTTTACCCCCATGAACAAACAATAATAAATATTTGGTGACCAGACCTTGCAAGATTGCCAGGACATTATATCAAAAATCCATGGAGACAACAGGTACGAAGGGGTTGATATGAGTTTTGGAGCCGTTGAACTTACACATAGTGCTCAAAATTGTATTGACAAGATGCACAAGGAGTTTCACGAAAAAATGGCAGATGATTTGCACACATCTCATGTGTTAAATGTTGTTCTTCCAGAGGCCTTAAAGTTTGTGAACAGTATTTTAAACAAGGTAGCCTTTGTTTCTATGAATCTCAGAACTTTTCCAAATTCTAAACACTAATCTATGTTTCTTACTCTTCTAGAAGAAGCATGATATATTAATGTGTCAATTCTTAATGGAGATCGAGAAAGAAATTAGAGAAGTACTGTTCGTTCTAGGATTATTGTCACCATTCCCTTACTCTCAGGTACTGTATAATAAAATTGGTAAAAATTTGTGGCCCATCACTTTTGACACCAAAGAAGGATTTCACTAACAAAAGTTGAGACATCTCATAGACAAAAGTTGTCTACGATTTTTTCTTCTTCGGTGTCAAAAGTGATATGCACCAAAGTTTTTGCTTGGTATACAACTTTTTTTAGTCAGCCTGCAGAAACAAGGTTATAGGTGCGGAAAAACAAAGTTTTCAACTGAAAATTATTCTGTTTTTCCTTTTGTAGCTGAAAACTTTGTTTATCTGCAGGTTAGCTGAAAAAAGGTTGTCCAAGTACAAAACCAACTGGTTGTATTAATTAGCAGTAGTTTTTGAATGGGTATTATTGAGTTTTGCGGTTTTGCCTAATCTCAATTAATTTTACAAGCAGGTTTTGCAAGAGTTGAAGCACAAAGCACTTGTACGAGCAGGATTAGTTGAAGAGGACATTCTCCGTTTTATAGAGGAAAGAGCTTTGGCAAGAAAACATAAAGATTACTTAAGAAGTGATAGAATTAGAGATGAATTAGTTAGAAAAGGCATAACTTTAATGGATGTTGGCAACGGAACGATTTGGAGGCCATGTCTCCCTAGCCAACATTAGTTTTGGATAACCTATGCTACTCCAAGAATAATTTCAAGTTATTGGTAAATATTTAGCTTGCAGGCTGAATAAAGTTGTTTATGTTCTCAAGCTTTTCTTGGCTCTGGCATTATTACCGCAGGTAAAACTGGTTGTACCCTCTTGGTACAGCCAATGACAATTTTGGAAATTTTAAACACTTTGAGTTTAGAAGTTGTGATCTGCATCTGGTTTTCATCCTGCGCCCTTCCAATTCAAAGGTGTGCTTCCTAGGATCCAACTTTGTCGGAGTTCACCTCTTCCAAGTGGGTTGTTTCTTTCCAGGTGATTTTCTATGACATGTCGCATTACTCTTTAGAAAAATGCTTTGCGAACCCCACCTGGGCTTCACTACACCAAGGCAAAAATAGGCACACACAGACACTGAGTTTCTGTGCACGCACCAACATTGAGTGTCTGTGTGTCCCTATTTTCGCCTTGGTGTACATTTTGTGTACCCCAAATGGGGTTCCCCTAGCACTCCTTTATTCTTCAATGATTCTCTGGGGCATGCCTCATAAACGTCGAATATGTCAGAATTGTGAAGTTGTGATGTCTGCAACAAAAATGCTAGGAACCCACCACGGGTGACTCTAAAGATGACAATCACTGGTGATTTATACATACAGAGACGTTTATCGTTTGTGAACATAGATGATCATTGTCTGTAAGTATAAAATCATCTGTGATTGTAATTATCATTCATTGGGGCAACCGTGGTGGACTTCTAGCATGATCCAATATGCAAAGTGATGAGTGACGTTGTTGCTACTGCGTTGTGGCACCAAAGACAAATGAAGAAAATGAACAGCTCCTATATGACCATTGTGTAATGGGGTTATCAAATGTGTATATATTAATTTTACAATTTGCTTGGTGTGAATATGTCGAATATTGTGTAATTATCAAATGCGTACATATAAATTTTATTATTTGCATTTATCTGAATAAGTTGAGATAAAGAAGGGCCATATATGTCAAAAAGGACATATATTGTCATTCCATTACTAGTAACAGTTCTTTATCCCCTTCACCACCTATATAGTTTAAGTTTAATTGTTTCATGCTCTAATAAATTTTTAAAAAAATACTATTTTTTTCTTTGCATAAATCTCAACTACATACTTTAACCGTCCATTTTATTTCTTCTTATTTGATACAGTATTTCAAAGTCTGCGATGAATCACTTTGTCATTAATACTTCTATTTATTTATAGATATACTCCGTATATTATAAAAATTTAATGTTTTAAAATAATTTTTTAAAATGAATCTATTGAAATTAAATTAATAAATCACAATTCATTGTATTTTTTTTAATTTATGATTAAAATTTAAAAGTGTTAATAATGAAAAATCAAATGAATAAATACAAAGTTGACAGAGGGAGTAATTTTTATTTTGTTAAAAATTATGCATAGTCAATGGAGAACACAGAAAGCAAGTGAGTACATCTCAATACATTTTTGGAAGAGCTATCATGAAAATATTCACCAAGTGTAGTAATTACCGTGAATGGTTTTGGTGGTAAGCAAATCAAATCGAACTCTCTTCAAAACTATTGTCCAATTTTCAAATTTTTTTAATCAAACGGAGTATAATTTTTTTATCACAAATTGTGAAAAAATGTATTTAGTTATAATACTTTGTATAAATTTAATATAATAATTAGGTTACATTTAAGATGTACTCTCTCCGTCCTAAAAAGAGCTGCTTGTTGTTGTTTACGGAGTTTTACTAAAGTTATTTTTAATTCAAATTATTTGAAAATTAATAAGGAATTAAAAAATAAAATTTATATATTTAAAAACCACATCAAAAGTTCTACAAAATAGAAGTTGACAAGAATATATTATTTTTCTCAAATGAATCAAGAATGTAGTTAAAATTTGACTATGTGAATAGAAATGATTATTTCTTTAAAACTATCGACTATTTAATTTGTAATTAAAGAGTATCATAACTTGACCAAATACTCAAAATGAGACAATAGTTCTAGGACAGATATAGTATTGAGATATTTAACTCAAATTCAACTAATTTTAAATGTATTCATATCAAAGTTTTGAATTTAGTGTCGATTGATTCCTATATCGATTTTGAACTGGATTGGTATACACCGTATCGGCACCAAATTTCTCATACCAAAACCGTAACAACATCTTTAGTGAGATTACTTAGGTTTGTTAAGCTAAGAAATGACTGCTTCTCTTCACAATTACTTTTTAAAAAGAAGTAATTGGTGCTCCACATGATGCTTCACATCAGTTTTTTATGTGAAACAATTTGACTACAAAATATAATTCTAAATAAGTAACTATTATAAAAATTGATATATCTATATCGAAAAATTATTCCAATTATATTTAATTTACATTATGACTAAGGGTAAGACTAAATGTACTCTCAAAATTGCTAAATACACTTCTTTCATCCAAATTTGCTAAATCCACTCCTTTTCATTTAAATTTAATATTTGCTATCTAGAGTGTGGATTTAGCAAATTTTGATGGAAAGAATGAATTTAGTTATTTAAGGGATGAATTTAGTTTCACCCTAGGACTAAATACGAAATATATACTCTCTCCGTCCCTAAGTATTTGTCTACTTTTAGGTTTTTTCTCTTCAAATTGGTAAATTTTGACACTAAGTCAAATGATATTAGATATTGATATAAATTTTTTTTATTAAATTTATTATATCAAATATTTTCAAAATATTATTTTATCTAATTAATTTATAATATATATTTTATTTAATTATAGATCAAAGATTAACATAATTGACTGAAAAAAATTAAACCTAAAAAAATAATCAGGGAGGAGGAAGGCAGTATAATTTTAGCTATTTATTGCCAAAGTAATCACGAGAGTAAAATTAGGAGGTTTTAATCCGGAGAGATTGACTTTTTGGTTTGTTAGTCTAGCACATGCGAACCACATGAAAATCTGCCTAGCCAGTAGCCGATCAGGTGAAGTGACGCACACGCTGATTAAAATGGCATAAATTTTGGAGTTTTGGAAAAAGAAGTCAAGTTTTGGAAAAAAGAGAATAAATTAAAGAGCAATGTACACCAAAGGGTGTACCCCATTTGTCCCCCACCTTTTTTCCACTACTTATTTTTACCTCATTTTTATTTATTTAATTCTTTTAAAATATCTTGCTCATTTTTATAGTAATGGAAGGGGTGTGGGACAAATGGGGTACACCTTTGGTGTACCCCTAACATTTTTCATCTTGCCCATTTTTGTGATAATGGAGGGTGTGAGAGACAAATGGGATACACTTTTGGTGTACCCCTAACATTTTTCTAAATTAAAGTAACAAGTAACAACCATGTTAGCACGTTAGTTATTCACCACCGAAAGTTAACCCATTGGTTCTCATGACATTCGAAATCAATGTAATGAGGCCATTGGTTCTCACCTATGACTTGACTCGGCTAAGCGGGTTGGACTCAAAACGTAACACTTTCCCAAACTTTTCTAGTCCTCTCAGAAAATATACGAGTTCACAAGGTCTGTTTGGGAATAGCATTAGAGATTAGCGATGCGTTTCGAAAAGACTATCTACGGCCATCGTTTAGCGTTAGCGTTTTCAAAGTAATATGCACCATTAAAATTTTATCTTAAACGCTAACGCGAATCTCTTACGTTATTCCCAAACAAACTCATAGTTAGTTGGTTGTTGACTGTTAGCAGTTTGTGTTGACTGATTTAAATGGCTGGTAGAATTAGTTGTTCTGATCAGTCGATTAATTACATTAGCTGTTCACAAAAAATGTTTGGCAAATACAGCTGCTTTTAAATAGTTGTTGTTAATGTAATTATATTTAACATTTAATTTTATGTTTATGATTTGTATAATAAAATGTAATTTATATAAAACTTATAATATGTAAGTTTTATAATATATTAGACTTTTTAACAAATTATATTTATTAAGAAATAATTTAATATGTAAGTTTTTTATTTTTCTACCAACTTTTGAATAAAATATTTTTTTAAAAAATTATTTTACCTTGTAAATTCTAAGTGAGTTTCATTTAGGGAATGAGAAAGTAGTTATTAGTTACTCATTTATTTGTTTGTTTGGTTTTTATTTACTTTGAATTAATTAATTAATGTATTTATATATATTCATTTTATTAATATTTATGCAGTAAATAGTTATACTCCAACAGCCAACTCGAAAGGCTACTACTCCTAGTTTTTCATATTTTGGCTTTCAGACTCTAAAAGCAATAGCTATTTTTGCCAATCACTCTATTTGGCTAATCTGAATGGTAAAAACAACCAAAATTAGTAAAAAGAACCAAAAGCCGTCAAAAAAGTCAATGTCCAAACATGCCCATATTACTGTAGAAATTATTTGTGAAATGATTTATATGTATTAATAAAAAATTTTAAATATTAAATATGATTATTGGAATAGTTAATGATTATTATATATTAATAAAATTCATCACTTTATTAGTATATCATTTGAAATTCCTGAATAGATCAGGGGAAAAATTAATTGAATATTAGTGAGAGGAATATTTTTTAGGAACGATAAATAGTACGGAATACTTCAATTATGTAGATTGTAAAGTAAGAAAATGTGACTCAAAAACAGAACATACTCTCTACATAATTAACCTTTATTTATCATAGTAATTTATTGCACATAGTTTAACAAATTGCTCCGTATAATAATACTCCGTAATAAAATAAAAATTAAATTACTCCGTGTGTGATTGATATGGATAGAGAGAAATGAAAAATTAAAATACTCCGTACAAAAAAACACCATATAATAAATTAAAGCAGTACTCATCGGACGGTTCAATTCGATTCAATGACTTTCTCCACATTCTGACCGCCGCCGCGGCCACGGCCACGGCCAGCCCGCTTCCCTCCACCACCGCGCTTGGCGGTGTTTCTTGGGAGGGGGAGTATGTTGTCCACACACTTTCTGATGCTAAAGTCATCAGTAGTGCCGTCCTTCCTCAAGATAAAGAAGCATTTGTCGTTGAACTTCGGGTGGAACCGGACCTGAAACCCGCCCGCCCCGCACCCGATCTTCCGCTCCGGCTCCGGGTGCCCCTTCCCGATCAGCTCCAGCAGCACCATGTGTTCGTACCTGTTCACGTTCACATTGGGAGACCATGAGCTCAGAAGCCGGTGGAAGTAACGGAACATCTCCACGGATGACCCGAACCTCTTCGGGCCGACCGTGACCGGACCCGATAATACTTTGTCCTCCCCGACCGCCTTCTTCGTCTTCTTGATCAACGAGTCGCCATTTTCGTCGTCGGCGTCGCGAGGTCGCTTGGTGGCACAGTTCTCAGCAGCTGCGGCCACTGCCTCTGTTGACATGGGGGGCTTCGTTTCAACATCCATAGAAACAAATTAATTAAGATTAGCTTCTGATGATAGTTACTGGATGGATAGTTAATTCAGTTCATGAAAAAGCTGCCTAAACTGAGTAAAATAAGGATGGAATGCGTAATGCACTGTGTACTTAGGATTTACCAACTCGAGTATTTATTTGTGGGGAAAAGAGTTTTTTTCCCGGCTGAATTGAAGGAATGGTTTGATGAAAGAATCACGTTAGAAAGACTTCTTCAAGATTTTCTCACATACTCCCTCCGTCCTAAAAAGACTAAAAAAGAATTCATATTTTGACCATGTGTAAAAATAAAAAAATGTTAAATTATAGTTGACTTCCAATTTTGCTCCGTGTGTGATTGATCCCAAGTTTAACATTTCGTTTGGAAATTAATTATACATACATTATTGATATGACCAAACCTTGTTTAGTCGATCTATTTATGTAATACTATAAAATAGTTATGTTATCTTTTTCTAATGAAATCTTTACGTAGTTTTTAAATATTTAAATTTATTTTTAAATTTTACATTTACAATGAAATACATTACATTAAAAATAAAATCGGTCAAATTTCATAAAGTGGAATAAGTAATTCAAATTCGAGCGAAAGTAATATTTTGGTATTTTGAAGAAACAAAAACAGCTCTCGCATAAATAATTACCCATATTGGGCCAAATAGCTCTAGTGTCTGTGGTTTGGAAAACTATCACTAATACTCCCACTGTTTTCAAATTTTCTTCCTAAAGTTTCCGTGGTTTCAAAATATTGCATCACACCCCCTTGTATCATTTTCTAGTCATTTTCCGGTGAAGAGGGGCATTGGAACATATTTCTAAACTATAGGGACGCGTGTGCTCATTTCTTATTTTTCGTTTATTATTTGGGGTTTTCCCTTTTTCTAACTCTTTTTATCTCTTTGTTTCTTTTTCATAGAAAAGTTTTTTTAAATTTCTTTTCAATTTTTATAATTTTTTTTAAAATTTAAAATATTTTGTGTTTGAAATAAAAATTAATGTATAAACTCCATCAAACATTTTTGCTTTTTTTTTTTCTAGAATAATCTTTTTTGGTAAGCTTAAAAACAAAATCTAGAATAAAAACTAAAAATAAAAATATGGAAAAATGAAATGAAAAATTTAGAACATTCAGAAAAGAGTTTTATACAAAAATCAATTTTTCAAATGCCTAAAAAAGTGCTTAGAATTTTTATTTTTTTATTTTTTATTTCTTATTTTATTCCTCATTTTTTAAAATAATTCTCAAAAAGTGTTTTACCTTTTTATTTTGGAAAACAAAAAACAAAAGTTGTTAATTTGAGACGTATAGATGCATCATATGTTAATTTGTTATCAAATAAAAATAATTTTTAATTTTATAATGTTTTTAAAAATAAATTAAAGAACCTTAATTAATAAAAGAAACACAAATAAAGGAAAAAAGGGGGAAAACATAAAATAAGATATGAACACTAGTGACATCTATATTCAGAAAATATACACTAATGTCCCTTACTTGTTGGAAAAATGATCAAAAAATAATTAGAGCGGGTATAAATACAATATTTTGAAACAACATAAATTTTGAAAATAAAGGAGCACTAGTGCCTATTTTGCAAATCATAAGAGATATTGGTACTACTTGGCCACTTATACTGTTTATGTGTGTAGTTATAGGATACAATAGTATCAAAGATGATGTAATCCCTGAGTTTTTTGTTGATAAAAGGTTTTGTCAAAAATCTTTTTTACCCCAAAAAATCATTTCCCCTTGCCCTTTGGTCTTCTTTCTACTACTCCGTATCATTTTGTCTATTTCTATTTCTTCTTTGAACTTTGAAAATTACCCCCCGTATCGGTCGGCGTTACGTAGTATTGCAGTTGATAAAGACAAAAAATGCACTAAAATTTAAGTTCAATTTTTTATTATTGCACAGAGAGGCAACTATGCTAAACATAGAGTCTTTGCAAATATCAGAGCTTCACCTCTACTATCAATTAAAATCAATGTCTAATAAATTTCTTCTAAATGACTGTTTGACCAAATCTGAAGGGAGTCTCGAAGATGGGCCACATCCTTTTTAAAAATTAACCTCCATTATTTATAAATTATAATCAATTTCTTAGAGATGAAAAATAGTTATGCAGTCAACAAACTTTGAATGTCATTCCTCTCTTCATTCCAAATTTAACGCCATTTTGTTACCATTCTTTCTTTGTTCCTTATTTTTTGGGCTAACTTTTAACCTTGGTTGAATGTAGGGGGCAATCAGGTCAACCAGATAGATTCCGGATTAGATTTTATCGATTTGGGTATCTTTCGTATATATATTAATTATAATCATTTCCGTTCGAATTGGTTTAATTTCGATTCGAATTTGATTCGGTTGTATATATTTTTCATGAGTTCAAAATTAAATTTTTATTGTATGACCTAATACATATAATCATTTTATATATTAAGATCAATAAAATGAGTATGAATCTAAAGATCACCAAATTAAAGAATTTACCTTTAAGAAAATATATCCTAGGATAGGTTTAACACTTCTTTTGGAAATGAATTATCCATATATTATTGATATGACCAAACTTTGTTTACTCTATTTACTTATTTTCGCTATTCATTTCATAATACTATAAAATAGTTATGTTATCTTTTCTAAATGAAATTTTTATGTAATTTTTAAATACATAAATTTATTTTTAAATTTTACACTTACAATCGAATAAATTAAATTAAAAATAAAATTGTTCAAACTTTGCTTGTGAAATAGGATAGGTAATTCAAATTCGAACGGAAGTAATATTATGAAGTAATATTATGGTATTTTGAAGACACATAAACACTTCTGGCATAAATAATTACTCATATTATTTATGTGTGTAATTATAAGATACAATAGTATCAGAGATGATGTAATTCCTTAGCTGTTTGTTGATAAAAGGTTTTGCCAAAAATCTTTTTTACCCCAAAAAATCATTTTCCCTTGCCCCGTTGGTATTCTTTATACTACTCCGTATCATTTTGTTTGTTTCTATTTCTTCAAGGCATGCTCTGAAAAATGAAAAAATAAAATTGGCCCGGTCCAAAATTTATATTTTGTGGCCTATTTTATATTTTTGAATACTTTTGCTTCAAAATTATTAAAAAATTTAAAAATATGGTACCCTAAATTTTAAGGTGCCCTGTGCGATTGACCACTTTGCACACCCTCCGGGCCTCCCATGTATTTCTTCTTTGAACTTTGAAAATTTCTCGGTGTGTCGGCCGGTGTTGCATAATGCCGCAGTTGACAATAACAAGGATGCGATAATATAATACCGAGTTCGATTCCTTATCCTGCGCTAGGAGTCAACTATACTAAGCATATGACCTCTGCAAGTACCAGGTGCAGCCGTGTAGGGCTCCACCCTGCTATCAATTTACAATCAATGTCTAATTTATTTCTTCTCAATGATGGTCTGATTGGATCCGAGAGGATTATCGGGACGAGACTCCTTTTTAAAAATTACCCTCCGTTCTTTATAATCAATTTCTTAGAGATGAAAAAAATAGTTATATACTCCGTAGTCAACAAACTTTGAGTGTCATTCCTCTCTCCATTCCAAATTTAACGCCATTTTGTTACCATCATTTTTTTGGGCTAACTTTTAATCGTTCGTTGAATGTCATGACATAACATCAATCAATTTAAAAGCAAAGAGAAAAAACGGTAGTGAATGTTCTTTTTGCTGGTACTTGTACTTCTTTTCAAAACTTCATTAGATGCAGTATGCAAGATCAAATTAAATTAGATACAGTATGCAAGATTTAAAAAAAATTCAGCGAGGGAGGGGGGTGGGGGTGGGGGATTGGAGGGGTTTAGGGGGTTTGCAATATCAATTGTTCAATTTTACCCAGGAATCGTTGTACTTACCCAGGTCGTAATATGACCATCGGTTCACGCAAGACTGTCTCCAAAAAATAAAGGGCCTTGGACAACACTGAGAAAATAGGTAATTGTGTCATAATGAAGCAAAATCTATAAATTACACTGGAGTACGGTGACACTCTGGTGCCACTGTTATTTTGGGGTACTTCCGGTGTTTCATTTGTAAAATTGACGGTTCCTACCCTCCTAACTCACCCCTAAACCCCCCACCCAATCTCACCCCTGCACCACACCCCAATCTCGCCGTGAGCCCCTAATTTTTTGTGGCCAGCCATAACTAAGTGTGGCAAATAATTAAGAGATCTATAATTTATCCACACTTATTAATGAGGTTATTTGAAATTTAGGCTTGCATTGAGATGTATACGTACGAGTACCCACATATATAGAGTAAAATAAAATTGTCACATAAATTAATCCTTTAAATTAAAGCCCAACCCAATACATAAGTTAATTAATTAATCCAATTCTAAATAGCAGTTTCACATCACAATGAAAAAATCGGGAGTGTGGAAATTATTTTAAGCATGCTAGGGTGCTACCATGGGTTCACACAGACAAATAGAAATAATAATTGTCTGTGTGGTCTGTGTTTGTTTGCGTGAAGCATGGGTGCATTCATGGCAGTACTTGTCACCCTAGCATTATTCTTATTTCAATTATCTCACTAGGTTGAGACGTGCAATTAGGTTCTTCGATGAACAGTGATCCGCGACTCCCTTCAATCGGAAATTCCCCTTGATTTTGTTAATTTTTCTGGGCGATTCATAATGCCTTTGATTCGTGTTCAACAAGAGAATAAGATTCAAAGCTCAATTTGGTGATTCGTGGCAGGAATTTGGCAGAAACTAAGGTCAACATTAGCGCAACTATTGTTCATCCACGATGTTGCAGGTCTGATTTTTTCGTTCTTACTGCTGATTTCAACCCAAAGATTGAGGTATTTGGAGCGGATAACATTGCCTAACCACAATCTGGAGTTTATTGATTCGTCCAAACATGAATTGTGAGCTTTGGGTGTAATTGGAGTCTCTTAGCACTGTTAACAGCGCGAGACATACACTGGAGGTTCTCCATTTCAATTCCTCTTTCTGGTTCCGTTTTTGGGCAACCCCAAAGGTGATTTTCAGCTCTTCTTCTTCACTTTGGTGGCCTATAACCTGAAATTTGTTGGTGCTTGTGTTGGTATTTTTGTTGTGCTTGCTGCCCTCTTTGTTGTAAGTTTTTAAAACTTGGGTCTGGTTCTTTAGTGTTGTGATTATGGGACATAATAATAAGAATAAGAATAGCAAAAGTCAGAACCAAAACATCACAAATTTTGTCTTTAATGGTACACTAATTAGTGAAGGAAAAAAATGCAGGATTTATGGCATAGGCAGTGGTAAACACCTGTCTGCATGTTTACTCTCCTCTATTGAAATTGTGCAGGCCCCAGCTTCTTCCTCAATTGATGGTAATGTCACATTGAACTCTTTTGATACCATTGCTATTGAGGACAACTCTTTTGGTCTGGTTCTTTTCTTAGTTTATAAGTAATGTTTTCTCCATTTGTTCATTGATCACAGCATGTTTAGTCTGGTTCTAGGACATTATTTATGTTCTAAAAATTTCACAGAATTGAAACTAAATATTTGATTACATATCAGGTTATTTCCATATATGTGTTAATGTTTAAATATTTGTTGGTTGTGTGTATAATCTGACCATGTTCAAAGGATTGAATATCTTTTGAAACTGAAATCAATCTTACTCTTGATTGACTGCTTCAAATGAATATTGAAATTTTTGTTAGTGTTGATATTTGATATACTAAAACATAACAGGTGTGGCCAAAAAGAAGCCCAAACAGATGCACACGATAGCCCTAGGGCTCATTGGAGGGTACAAAACTCCTTGGGGAAGGCCATCAATTACACGAGAAGACGAATGGCACTTCACACTTTAAAGAAGCAGCACCAGATTCAGGTATAGTGGTAACTGACTTTTAATCTTCAAGGGTATATGACTTGAAATACTCTGGTTGAATCTCTAATTTATTTTTATTTGTAGGTTGATAAAGTAGAAAATTACAAGCAACCTTTTGGGAGTGAACCAGGAAGGTTGGGGAAGTGGTGAAGATGGATGAGGGGATTGAGGGGTTGGAGGTATAGCCATTTTTTATCAATACAGCCCTCAACAAAGCTAATTAAGCTTCTGGTTGAACTTTAGAAACGGGTTTTGGCATGTGACTCATCAACAAGCTTTGCTTCATTTATGGTTTTCAAGACTTTACAAGTACGTGAAGAAGATAAGGCTAACTTCTACTTGTGATATGGTATTCTTTTTTTATGAAAGTTGTGATGTGTTATTGAATTTGGCATACGGAGATTCAATTTTAGTCTTCAGAAGCAAATTAATTAAGCATGCTTAGAAGGAGCTCGAGTACCAGTGTTGCTGCTCTTTTCTTGAGATAGGTGTCTTCTTATTACGGAGTATTATTTTACATTAAAAATGTCTGCAATTTTTATCAATTTAATGAGATGATCCGGATATACCAATTATTTGTATCAAGTTTTGACATTATATTGTTATACAATATGAGCTATTTTCTTAGCCTATTAGCTCAATGGTAGAGCGTCGTATGCAAAAGTACATGAACATGTGGGTTCGAGCCCCACATAGTTTTTCGTATGAATTTTAAATATTAAAAAATAATGGTATTTTTGTATGTGTGGTGTTTTAAAAACATATATAAATGTGGCAAAATAAAATATTAGCCACATATATAAGTGTGGCTAATGTATTTATTAGCCGCGTTCATTAAAAGTGTGCCAAAATTTTCCCCACACTATCACCCGCCACACATACTTCAAGTGTGGCAAACAGTCTCCCCCACACTTATATGTGCGGCGAAGAACAATTTTAAGTGTGGCAAAAGACCAATTTTCTTGTAGTAGGGGGGCAAGGGTGGGGATAGGGTAGGAGGTTTAGGGGGATGGTTAGTGGGTAGTAACCGTCATTTTTACAAACGGGACACCGTAAGTAGCTCAAGCGAACTGGTGTAAGCAAATGACACCTGTAGCACTGGTGTCATTTTGGACTTACTATATATATATATATATATATATATATATATATATATATATATATATATATATATATATATATATATATATATATATATATATATATATATATATATATATAGGGGGCGGTTCAGGTGAGAATGCACCTTGGTGAAAGAAATAAGAATGAAATCTAGCCTTTGGATCTGATGCATCGTGCGGCTCAGATTGCATCCTACACTCAGATTTTGAGATAGTGCATTTTAAAGGATTTTGTTGCATTCGACATGATGCATTTTCAAATCATTTTGGTGCACCTAATTTTGATGCAATCCTCACCTTTAGATCTCATAATCTAAAGTATTAGATTCATTCTTATTTCTTTCATAAGATCGCATTCTCATTTGAACCAATATATATATATATATATATATATATATATATATATATATATATATATATATATATATATATATATATGAGAATGAAATCTAGCCGTTGGATCTGATGCATCATGCGGCTCAGATTGCATCCTTCAGATTTTGAGATAGTGTATTTTCAAAGGATTATGATGCATTTTCAAACCATTTTCTTGCACCTAAGATCGCATTCTCACCAGAACATATATATATATATATATGTGTGTGTGTGTGTGTGTGTGTGTGTGTGTGTGTGTGTGTGTGTATGAGTATTACTAAGTGGACTACTGACTTTGATCCCACCAAGGTAACCCCTATCATCCCTGTTTGGATTTTCATCAATAATCTGCCCATCCACCTGCATGACAAACAAGCCTTGATGTCCATTGCCAATATCTTTGGCAAACCTTTAAAACTGGACACTACTACTGAAAATTTCACAAGACCTTCTGTGGCTAGGTTCTGTGTTGAAATGGACCTTTCAAAGCTTCCACAGAACTCTTTTTATGTCAAAAATGGGGATACTCCCCTGTTGTTACAAGCTGATTTTGAAAATCTCCCAAACTTCTGCAAAGTTTGTAGAGGCATCAATAGACACTCAGCTTCCTGCAAACACTCCCCTTCTCCCATGGCTAAGATTCCTCTCCCAAACAGCATCCAAACAAATAACCCATCTCACACTGATTTGGGCAAAATGGGTTCACTGGAAAACCAATCCAGTGCAAACTCTGCCAAACAGCTCCAAAACAAAAAACCAGCAGTCACTGACCCACTTCCCTCTCATTCCAGTCATATGCCCACACCCAATTGCCATAATCCCTCCCACAATCAAAACAACAACCTGCCAAACCCCAAAATTCCCCTCCCAATACAAAACAAACCAACAGCTACAAACCACACACAAAAACCAAAACAAAAAATGGACCAGCCTCAACCCATAATTATTCAGGATGACCATGCCTCCTCTTCTTCAAATCTTCTGAACCACAAGCCATACCCCAGCCCTCAACCCCCATCCAGCCCCCAGGTCCATCCAGATGACCAGATTACTTTTGAAAACAATTTCCAAGAGGTTATGTTCTCATCTCTTTTCCACATTCTGGCCCTAGGAAGAGATGAAAACATCAAAGAAAAACTTCTTGAGGTGGAACACCTTCAACCTCAACCTGAAGACAAAGCTTACCACTCAGAGGGAGAAACTATATCCAGAAATGGTCATAAACCTACAAACAAGAAAACAAATACATCAATCAATAAACCCATGGATTCAGAAATCAAAAGGAGATCTGCAAGGCTCCAAGAAAAGGTTTCAACTCACAATTCCTTCTCTATCCTACAACTATGAATGCACTTTTTTGGAACATCAGAGGCATTGCCTCAAACCTTCCTAGACTTTTAGGTTCCAACTAAGCCTGGGTTTTGAGTCCTCTGTTCATCTTTGTGACAATCAAATATGGGCTTTCTGGAATTCTGAATTTTTGTGTTTGGATCACATTTCCAATCACTCTCAGCCGGGGCATCTTGTTTTCACAAACAGACACCTTGCAACAAGACTACACATTTCAGCTATATATGGCAGACACACCAATGAAGAAAGAAAAGAACTCTGGCAATGCATCTCTAGCCTCTCAAATAACATCACTGACCCATGGATCCTAGGAGGGGATTTCAATGATATCAGTTCTATATCCCATTACAAGGGCAAAAGCTCACCATGCATTATTATTTATTAGCATTATGGACTTTGACACTTGCATCTCCCAGAATGGTCTCATTGAGCCACCATTCACTGACTCCCCCTTCACTTGACAAGGGGTTAGAAGTCTGGGAAAAATCTGGAGGAGATTGGACAGAATATTCTACAATACCCACCTGGAAGATCTTAATTGGTCAATCACTACATACCACTTGGCCAAAGGAGGTTCTGACCACTCTCCCATCCTTCTTAAAATCAAAAAACAAATGGCTTTCCAAGGACCAATTTCCTTCAAATTCCTAAACTGCTGGACAAGCAATAACACCTTCCTCCCCCTGGTTAGGAACAACTGGGAGCCCTATAGGAGAGGAGGAATGAGAGGCCTTATGGACAAGTTGGGAAAACTAAGGAAGATCATTCAATGCTGGAACACTAATACCTTTGGGAACATATTCCAATCTAGAACCAAACAAGAAGAAGCCCTTAAGGAAGCTGAACACAATTTTTGTGAAAACCCCTCTCATGACAACAACATAAGGATGCAACAAGCCAGAACTACCCTTAACAAATGTTTGGCCACGGAATACTCCTACTGGAAACAAAAATCAAATCTGAAGTGGATCAAGGAGGGAGATCTTAATACTAAGTTCTTCCAAGCCTATGTTAAGAACAAAAGGAACTTCCAAAAGATTGAAAAAATCAGGAACAATGAAAACAGATGGCTTCATGGGTGGGAGGAAATAGCTACAGAGGCCAGATCCTTCTTCAACAACCTTTTCACCCATGAAAACACTATCCATTGCCCTGACATACTTGATAACATCCCCCATACTCTCAGCTCTCCAGGTCCAGATGGGTACACTGGACATTTCTTCATGGTCTGTTGGGATATCATTAAAGAAGATATTTAGAAAGCATGTCAAGAATTTTTTCTGGGAATTCCTCCTCCTAAATGCCTAACCACCTCCACCATCATCCTTATTCCTAAAACTGATAACCCTGCCACATTCTCCCCATATGCCTTTCAAACTTCATTGCCAAAGTCCTGTCCAGGATCATGGCTACTAGACTGTCAACTATTCTCCCTAGAATCATCAGCCCTGAGCAAGGAGGGTTCTTGAAGGATAGACTCATCTAGGACCAGATCCTTATAACTCAAAAGATGTTTCATGGTCTATCTAATAAGTGCAGAGGGGGGAATCTGGTTATCAAATTGGACATGTCTAAATCCTTTGACAGAGTCTCTTAGGAATACCTATTGGAAGTTCTGAGGAGATTTGGGTTTGACAACCAGATCTTACACATAATCTACAACCTACTCTCCACTACCAACCTGGCTATTAACATCAATGGGAAAAATACTAAGGCATTCAAGACCTCTAGGGGTTTGAAACAAGGGGACCTCCTATCCCCCCTCCTGTTTATCATTGCCTCGGAAGGATTTAGCAGAACTATCAACAAATTGATCCTTCACAATCAGCTGCAGCATGGGAAGGCATTACCACCCAATCTCCCACTTGGCATATGCAGATGACCTAATCCTCTTCACCAATGGGGTCCTAATCTCAAAAACTTTCACAGATTCTTAGAAAGGTATGAAAGTTGCTCAAGACAGAAGGTGAATCTGGAAAAATGCAATTTCTTCCCTCCTCCTAAAACTCCCAACCATAGAATTCAATACATGAGCAAAATCCTTGGTATGAAACATGGATCTATGCCTTTTAAATACCTGGGTGTTCAGATTTTTAGAGGAATAAACAGAGCCCCCTACTGCCATGGCCTTATTGAACAATTTAACAACAAGCTGAAGGGTTGGCAGGGCAAACTGCTTAGCCACAGTGGGAGGCTAATCCTCATCAAACACACTCTTAATGCTATCCCTATCCACACCCTAGCAGTCAACAAAATTCCTAAGTCCATCATCAAACTTCTCCACAACAAGATGTGCTCTGTCTTGTGGGGTAGCAAAGCAGGTAATGATAGCTATCACTGGGCTTCTTGGGAAAGGATCTGCTTGGATGAGGACAAAGGAGGTCTAGGAGTCAAGTCTTTGGACACACTTCAAGAGGCTTTCAGCTTGAAACTCTGGTGGAACTATCATGCCAACAACTCCTTTTGGAGCCATTTTATGAGAGAGAGATATCCTAGAAACAATAATTTCAACCCCAAAATCACAGACTCCACTATATGGAAAAGAATTTGCTCTATACATGAAACTGCCACTAATTTTTTCTTTGCAGGAGAAGATGGAGACTACCCAGAAGAAGAAGATTTTTTCAGGAATAAAAAACTTTCTCTTAAGGAAGCTTACTAGGCCATCTAAGCGCAAGTGGAAGAAGATACAATACATCACACGAGCATTATCTGGGACATGAAGCAAATCCCCAAAATATCTTTTTTCCAGTGGCGGCTATACTTCAACCTGCTACCATTCCCAAAACAATTAATCATATTTGGGATAAGCATGCCATCCCAGTGTCCTTTATGCAGAAATGACTGTGACTCAGATTTTCACACTCTCTTCCTATGCTCCTACGCTAAAACTACCTGGAGCTACTTTGAGTGGATTTTCAAGATTCCATGGCAACCTACGCATGGGGTAAGATCCTACCTACAGAAATGGTGGCAATATTGCCATACAAAAACACTTGAAGGCTGGGTCAAAGGAATAATACATGGAATCATTGTGCACCAACTTTGGAAAGAAAGGAACCAGCAAGTCCATGACAACAACAGAGAACCGGGGAAACTGATTCAAGACTGTTTCGGCAGCTCCAAGACTGGATACTAGGGAGGTCCTCCAAAATTAAAATCTTTGGTGCTTGGCGCCTACCTTCTGAACTTCTGCAGCAAGGGAGGCCAGGACCTAAGATTCATCGATGGAGGAACACTGAAGATGACGCACTGCACCTATCTACAGATGTAGCAATCAATACCTCACATGCTGTTGGTAGCGCAATCCTAAGAACATGGAATGGGGAATTCATCGCAGCAGGAACATAGTTGATCGACGACATTAATGTTTTACAAGGAGAAGCTAAAGCTCTGGCACTAGGGGTTAAGTGGGCCGAACACTTTAGTAATCACATTTGGGCTAATACAGATTCCGAAACTTTATCGAAATCAATTTCTCGAGGCGTAAACCCAGGAATTGAACATGACTTGTGGTCAACACTACATCGAACATTCACTCATGAAAGGCATAAACTATCTCACATTTTTCGGGAAGGCAATATGGCAGCCCATTATCTGGCAAAATGGGCCAGTAGACACAAATTTTATAGTCAATGTATTTCCTTTAACATTACTCCACAATATGTTCAAGGAGCCATCAGGGCAGATGTATCTTTACCGTTTTTGCGTTAATCAATAAAAAAACCCTTTATTCAATATATATATATATATATATATATATATATATATATATATATATATATATATATATATATATATATAGTTTGATGGGTAGAGAGAGAAAGCTGCCGGAATCCTCTGGGTTTTCCGGCCAGAAAATAGGGCCGAGTAAACTTTTCTCGGAACTTTTCAAGAAAGAAGGATGTAAAACTATTGGCAGCATCAAACCTTCTCCCTCAAGAAAACCCGCTGTTTTCCTTAGTGACGAGGATTTGGAAAATATTAGGGAGAGATTCCCATTTACTGTCAAAGCTAGATATAAGAGGGATACCACGCCTGAGGAGATAGGAAAGAGCCTGGAAAAAGGTGGATTCAAGGGTGGATTTCGAATCTCAAGAGTCACTAGATATCAGGTGATCATTGTCTTCAATCAACAAGGAGATTATCTTCGCATACGAGGTCATGGTCAGTAAACGGGACTCAGCTTTCAATCTGCAAATGGGATCCTAGTACAGAAGATAAACATGATAGCCCTCTAGCTCTAATCTGGGTAACTCTCAAACACCTTCCTTTTTTCCTTCTTGACAAAAGAAATCTCTTTTCTATTGTTAAGGTCCTTGGGAAACCAATCAAGCTCGATGAAACCACAGCGAGGGGAGGCTATTATCAAACAGCCAGAGTTCTTGTGGAAATGGACGTTTCCAAACCTAAACTCTCTTCCATCAAGGTTACTTCTAACTACTGGGTTAGAAACATCACTGTGGTTTACGATCAACCTCTTTATTGCAAATCCTGTAAACGTTGGGGACATTGTTGCACCAACCCGTCAACCGCCGGAAGAGTCTTGACCGGTGGTGAACTTCAGACGGGAGACAAGACCACTAATCGTGGGTCCTTTGAGTGGACTAGGGTGGAGCGTAATGGGAAAAAACTGATGCACGTAAATACAAGGAAGAGGGAGCCAACCCGCTTGCAAACATCCAATAAATTCCAGGCACTTGTAGACGAGAATTCTGCTGACACTATGGTTGGAGATGGCCCAAGCTCCATTTTCCAACCTTCAGTTATCCCTAAGGCTGTTACTTCTTTGGAGGCGGGCCCAAGCACAGGTAAAGTAGGAATTATTAATGACAAAATACCACTACAAACCCTTGGCTCGATCTCTCCAGGGAACCCCACTTCCCTCCTCGTGAAGCAAACAGCACTGAAACATACATCCACTCTGGACTCTCTTGGTCTCCTTTCCACATATGCTGATCCTGAAACCCCTTGCACCCCTGTGTGCATACACTCCGATGGTGAAGGTGAAAGAATCATTTTTAAGAGCCCCATTTCTTCCTTGGAGGGTAAATTATCTGCTATCAAGAGGCACACGCTTTCTTTTATGAAGGGTAGAGGCACTAAGAAACCTATGCCCCCAATGCACATGACTCTTAGGAGTCAAGCTAAAGCTCAATCATACCCTTCTTAATGTATCTCCTCTTTTGGAACATACGTGGGATGAGGAAGTCTGCCCACAGGATTAATTCCATCACTTCCCCTCACAAATGCTCTTTTATTGCTATTATGGAACCTCTTGTTGCATGTACAGAAATGAATTCCTTCAAACTCAAATTGGGTATAACCCATGCTGCCTCCTTCCTTCATAACCAACTCTGGATTTTCTGGATGGAACCCACCCTCACTCTCCTGCAAACTGTAGAACTGGAACAGGTTGTTCACTGCCATTTCAACTCTCCCACTTCTCCTGGTCCTATCTGGATCTCCTCCATTTACGGAAAACATAGTAGGTCCTCCAGAAAGACTTTTTGGGAATCTATCTCGAAATGTAACCCTAGAACACAACCGTGGATATTGGGTGGGGACTTTAATTGCATCCACAATATTGATGAACACAAAGGGAACACCGAACCTTGCCACAACCCTATAGAAGATTTCAGGAATTGCATGGAAGCCAACAATCTCCTTTATCTCCCCCCTTCTGGAGGACATTTCTCATGGAGTGGTTCTCGGAGTAGTGGAAAGGTCTGGAGAAGGCTGGACCATATCTATTGTACTCAACCCGTGCTTGATCAGTTTCCCACTCTCTCATTAGAAATGCTTAGCAAAGGTAGCTCGGACCACAGACCCTTACTGCTGAAGTACTCCCTTAGCTCCTTTTCTGGACACAAACCTTTCAAGTTCCTTAACATGTGGACTTCTCATCACTCTCTAGAGGCTACAATCAGGAGTTTCTGGGAAAGAAACAAAACCTTTAATGGAATGCAAGGTTTAGCAAATAAATTGAAGGCTTTGAAGCCAATCCTTATCAAATGGAATGGAGAGGTTTTTGGGAATATTTTCCAAAAACTTAAGGATGCCGAAGCCTCTGCCCAAACAACACAAACCTTTTATGAAGCCAACCCTTCTCCTGACTCCCTAGTGGCAGCTAACAAGGCTAATGCTGAGTTAGTTTTAATTACTAAAAGGGAAGCAGAATTCTGGCAGCAAAAGGCAGGTATCAAATGGATTAAGGAAGGTGATACTAACTCCAAGTTCTTCCACAACTTGGTTAAAGGGAAAAGGTTAAGGCTTCATATCTCCTCTATCAAAAATGACGAGGGGAAGATCTTGGAGGATAAAACTGAAGTAGCTACATTTACAGTTAACTTCTTCACCAAGTTGTACAAAGCAGATTCTGTCTCTGGTGATCCGCACATTTTTAGCTTTATCCCAAAACTTATCAATGATGAGGACAATAAGCTTATCTGTACCCTACCTCTAGGGGAGGAAGTCAAGAAGGCAGTTTGGGACTTAAATGAAAGCAGTGCTTTAGGGCCAGACGGTTATAATGGAGTTTTTTTAAAAACTTTTTGGCATATCATCCAACAAGAAGTGATTCGGGCTAGCCAGGAATTTTTCTTGGGGCTTCCCGTCCCGAAATCCTATGGAGCCACGTTACTTACCTTGATTCCCAAGGAGGACAACCCAAAAAGTCTGGGGGACTATAGACCTATCTCCCTATCTAACTTCATCTCCAAAATTAACACTAAGATATTATCCAACAGATTGAGAAACCTTCTGCCGAAAGTGATCAGTCCTGAACAAAGTGGCTTCCAGGCAGGTAAGGGAATTGATGAGAACAGGGGGAGTGCCAATGTTGCAATAAAGGCTGACCTTTCCAAGGCTTTTGATAGACTCTCCTAGAAATACCTTGAACAGATTCTCATCTCCTTTGGATTCAGCCCTACTGCTTGTCACCTCCTCATGGCAACTCTCAAGGCCACACACTTCTCTATTCTCATTAATGGTGTCCCCTAGGGCTTCTTCAAAATGGAGAGGGGAATCAAATAGGGGGACCCGCTCTCCCCCCTGCTCTTCATCCTTGGCAATGAGGGTCTAAGCAGAAAGATCAAACACTACAAGAAAACTACCGATCTGCAATAGACAAATTTCGTGGCAGATTTTGAAATTCCGTGGCAGATTTCCATTCTGCAACGGATCTGCTACGAAAGCTTTCCGTCGCAGAAAAGTTGTGGCAGATTTAAAATCTGCGACGGAATTTAAATTCCGTGGCAGATCTGCGACGGACCTGCAACGGAATTTCCCTTTTTTCATCGGATGTAATCTGCGACGGAAATTAAGAACCGTTGCAGATCTGCGACGGAATTAGCAACGGACACCTCCGTCGCAGATCTGTGACAGAAACAGCAACAGATGGTTCCGTCGCAAATATATGGATGATCAACCTGAATTTATCTGTTTTTAAGCATTAGATACTAAAATGGGAGGCAAAACACATTCAATTTTCACACACATTGATAATTCAAAGCTAGATTAATGAAAACTTCACGTGCAAATGTAACATAGTTCATTATATTCTAATAATGAATATTAAAGTGTTAGTGTCAAGCGTTTAAAATGGAGGAAGCTAAGGTCGTAAAGGTCCCAACAAATCTCGAGCTGTCCTGCACCTCCTGTTCCATCATCATCGCCTCATCGAGGAAGGATACCACCATATATCTTCTTTATCTCCTCTTGAATCGTCAGTGACAAGCTCGAGGTTAGA